GAATTCCTATTTATACAAGTCATACGAGGAGGGGAAAATTCAATTTAGCTAATGAGGAGAACTTACATTGAACAGGTACACTGGTACAGTGACATATCATACTAATCAAATATAGATATATGTAAAAAAAATTCTAAATATTCATATTTCATTGACACAGAACATCACGTTACAGTGTACTCGTATCATATAAATTATTCTTCTAACTAAGACTTCGAATGCATTTGTAAACTTTTGGAATCATTTGAGTTACAATCATCTTATAATTCAGCTATGAGTTACCATTCAGAATTGGTGTTCAATATAATAAAGCGCCTTGCATTGATTGGTTATATTATTATATTAAAGTTTTAACAATGGTTATAAACTTTTGAACAAAAACCATGGTTTTGGATAATCTTCATAAGATGTAGCAAATGTTGTTTTTATATTGGCTCCAACAGAAAAGTCGGAAAGAAATGGTTAATCCTTGTAGCAGTGTCCATAATAAATTTATAAAAAAGTATGGGTATTTTCTTGTCATGCACTCTATTCCTTTTCATCTTATGCAAGAAAATCCTCAACTTGCTATTCGCCAACTTAAAGAAAATTGTGTTCGTCACAATTTCTTTTATGTCGATAATTCATTTACATTTAAATGTCGAAATTTTAAAACTTATACATTGTTATGTATAGATGTTGAGAATTTTAAATATTGTGATCTCAAGAACGTGTCTGATATGCGATCTCTCTCTCTTAATTATGAAATAAAAGTAGAGATAGAAGAGAACGGAATACATATGTGATAGTGTATAAATTTGTATGACATACTAACATGATGAATCCCAAATGCATGGGAGTTATTCTCAATTTGCTGACAGCTTAGCCATTGTGCTGAGTGAACTTAACACATGATCACTTGAACACTGGCAGTAGTTAGTCATGAAGGGTGACCACCACCATAACTGCCATGAAAGTGAAAGTCTGAAACTCTTCCTTTAAAAAGCACACAGATTCAAGACTGCTTTAATTATTCTCATCATCATCATCATTATTTAATTCAGAATCCATTTTTATAATCCTCCAATCAATCAAGTTGAACACTCACCCAGACATAAAGAAAACATTCTTCTATTGTTCTCCCCCTCTTTGTTTCCTCTTCCTTTGTTTCTAAGAAATCCAAAGTCGAAAAAATCCTGTACTCTTCCCATTGAAAAATCTTCAGTTTTTAGCCTTATTTCCTCTTCTGGGTCTGACCCTTTATGCTTTGCTTTATTCTTCTGGTGTTCTTGTAGTTGTCACTCTTCAACTTTGGTGCATAGATTAGGAAGTTTGCCTTTTTACTTCAATTAATCATTTCCATGTTTTGAATTTTTTTTTTGGCTTGTAGGAACAATATTTTTCTTTCAAGTTTTGAACTGGGTTTTTCAAAATTTTGAAGCTTCAGAAGCTCAAAGTTGCAAACTTTAGCTCCAAAGATTCAAACCCATCTCTTTAAATCCACTCACTTTGCTTCCAAGACCAGTTTTCTGCTCAAATTCCAAGTTTTTTGGTGAAGGGTTTTGATGGGGTTGCTGAAAGGTGTGGGCTTTAGAGGCCTAAGTGTTGCCTTATTGTTCTTCAATCTGCTGGTGGGGTTAGTGGTTGGGATTGGAGCGAACTGGGGGACACAGTTAACACACCCTCTCCCACCAGCAACTGTTGTGAAGATGTTGAAGAACAACGGGATCCAAAAGGTCAAGCTTTTCGATGCCGATTCGGGTATTCTGAATGCTCTGAGCAAGTCTGGGATTCAGGTCATGGTTGGAATCCCCAATGAGATGCTGTATTCTTTGGCTAACAGTATGCAGGCAGCTGAGAAATGGGTTTCCAAGAATGTCTCCTCACATGTCTCCAATGGTGTAGATATTAGGTAAATTGTCTCTCTCAGCTTTTACCTCTGTTCATATTTTTAGATTTGGGTTTTGTTTCAGTTGGAGTCCTATAAAAACGGCATGTAGTTTCCTTTTTTGGCTAGTACCTGGATCTTAGTTTGTCTATGCTCACAAGATAATTTCCTTGGTTTTTGCCTGTATACAAATGGATCCGTTAGGGAAACATTTGTGTGTGACCTTTTTACTTCTAGGAAATCAAATTCTTGATCAGCCGCTATGTGATTCAGTCTTCGTGATCGAAAGATGATATGGGGAAGCTAGAACTGTGTGTGTGTACCATTAGTCATCCTCTCATATAGGTAGAACCTTGCCTGACCCGTCCTTGGTGTTTGAGTTTGGATTTCCGGTAATGTGGTACGGTTCACTTTCATCTCGTGCACTTCAGTGTCATGACCAACAGGTAGAAAAGTAAAGACTTCGATTTGGTTGAAGAGTATTCTGCAATGCTAGAGTCACCATTCTGTGGTTTTCAACTCACTTGTTTAGGAGTTTCTCATTGACCATCCACAGAGAACCCCTTCATTTTAGAGATCTGGTATATCTATTTGCCGTAGCTAGTTGGAGCAACTCTCTACAGAATCACACACTCTGCTGTATTTACTGTTGTTCCAAGGTTATTTCTATTGAAAGTTTTTTAATCGCGGGTGATAACGCTTCATGCTTCTGCCTTCATTTAAGTTTGTAGATATGCCCTGAAGCATGATAGTACTCCATTATCAAGGATGCTTTCCTTATAGCTAGTCGACTTGTCAAGTAGAAATCCATATCCATATCCATCTCACAAAGTATTATCGTGCTGCAGGAAGGAAAGTAACGCTCAAGAAATTTGACTAACAATGCCTGCAGCGTTAAATCGTTGCTATAGTTCATTTGTTTTTTAATTTCTATTAGCTGTCTTGAACCGAAGAATAATATTTGCGGAATTTCATTATCAGAAAAAACTGTTTCGGAAGGTGGGAGGCAGACATTTTCCATTCTTAGTTACTGTTTTTTATCAAATCATCTTTTCCAGTTCTAACTGAAGGTAGAATTTACGTCTAATTAATCTTTCGAGATCTTACCTGTTTCATACATACTTTGTAAGGTATGCTGCAGTGGGGAATGAACCATTGTTGTCAACATACAATGGAACTTTTCTTCCAACAATATTTCCTGCCCTTCAGAATATCCAGTCAGCTCTCATAAAAGCCGGTGTGAGCAATCAGGTGAAGGTCACGATTCCTATCAATGCTGACGTCTACGACAGTGGTGGCTCAGACCTACCTTCTAATGGAGACTTTCGACCAGACACCAAGGATCTCATGTTGGAAATTGTCAAGTTCCTGAGTGACAACGGTGCTGCATTCACTGTCAATATATATCCCTTCATAAGCCTCTATAATGATGCCAATTTTCCAGCTGATTACGCCTTCTTCAATGGATACTCGGGTGCTATTAACGATAATGGAAGAATCTACAACAATGTGTTTGATGCAAACCATGACACCCTTGTATGGGCGTTACAGAAAAACGGATTTGGAAACTTGTCCATAATTATTGGAGAGATCGGTTGGCCTACAGATGGGAACCTGAATGCAAATATGCAGAATGCTCAACGGTTCAACCAAGGGTTTATGTCCCATATCAAGAATAACGCAGGGACTCCAATGAGAGCCGGCCCTGTGGACGCCTACTTATTTAGCCTCATCGATGAAGATGCCAAGAGCATTCAGCCAGGTAACTTTGAACGCCATTGGGGGCTGTTTTACTGGGACGGAACACCTAAGTATCAGCTCAGTCTAGGCACTACAGGCTCGAATGGATTAGTAGCAGCAAGCGGCGTACAATATCTGGAAAAGAAATGGTGTGTCATGTCGCCCTCAGCGAGTCTTGATGATCCAGAAGTGGCGCTAAGCGTGAGCTATGCATGTTCAAAAGCTGATTGCACCAGTCTCGGATATGGAACTTCGTGTGGAGATTTGGATGCTCGCGGAAACATTTCGTATGCATTTAACAGTTACTATCAAATAAATAATCAGCTGGACACTGCCTGCAAGTTTCCAAACCTTTCGACCGTCGCCACGAGTGATCCATCTACTGGAAACTGCAAATTTAGGATCATGATCCGAGCATCTTCTTCGTCTAGTGAGAACAGCGGAGCTGGCTCTCTTGAAAAGCCTAGTTGTTTAGGAATGGTGTTTGTGTTTATGTTCCTGTATACAATTCTGTGATTTTTTTGGGAGGTATCTATTGTATATTATTGGTGAAATGAACTCAATTTGTCGAGCATTAATCAGTCAATATACAAAACAAATTGAAAAATAGACAGAAAATGACTAAAATGTCATGTGTTACAGAGTCAAAATACTACCTACTGCATACTTTCTGGTTTAGAATCCTCAAATTAGCCACCTAATCCTAATAACAATTTACAATGAATTAATAGATTAAATAGTGCCAGGACATACCAAGACATGATTTATTTAGGAGAGATTCTCTTAGTCAGTAAGATTTAATTTTAATGGCGTTACTGTCCAATAAATACTTATCACGTGTTCCAAATACCATAAATTTAATAGATGATTCACATGTGATAAATTATAAATTAGTGACTCCGAAAAAACTTCTTGTTTTGTAGCCATAACCTGGTTCTTTAATTTGCACCGTAAGTGGGAAAATACGATTAGTAGGTGAATATAATAGGGTGGTGCTATCCACACATTTCATTTTACTTTTCGTTACATTTTTTTTTAATTTTCAATCAGTAGATTGAATGAATTGAAGAATATCAAAAAACAAAAATTAAGAAAGAATTTCTAGAAAGTAAAAATGATTGTGTTGATAGCACCACCACGTAATAACACTCATATTCAAATGGGTTTATTATCACTTAGTACTACGATTTAATGATATTCATCTTCACTTGTAAGTGAAATGTCTTAGGTTCAATTCTCGTCAAAAACAAATTTGAATTACATCATTATTGCTGGCCCATTGTAAGACTAAGCACACATCTCTCCCCTATATAATATCTTTTGTTTAAAAAAAAAGGGGGATTTATTAAGGGTATTTTTAGCATTTAAAGCAAAATACAGCCAAAGATGGAAAGAGATTTATTAAGGGTATTTTTAGCATTTAAAGCAAAATACAGCCAAGGATGGAAAGAGTAGGAAGGTTAGCATGCATGACAAAGGATTGTCTGAAGAAAGCAGAGCCCCTATTTTGGTGAAATTTTGCTCTTCTCTCTCTCCATCCCTCTCAAAAAACCTCAGACTCTCTCACTCTGTCTCTCTGAAAGACTTCAACTTTCTCCATTTCCACACCGCAAACCGCAACTCAAGGTATTTACTTTAGCGATTTTGGTTATGGAAGATTTCAAATTTGTGATATTTTTCCAAAAGTTTGTAGTCAAGTATTAAGGTTATTTCCTTCTTATTACAGATCTGAAGTTATCAACTTTGCAGAAGAAAGAAAAAGGTGATCTTGGTTTTTCAAGTTTCGTTTTGTGTTGAAAAACTTGCACTTTCTGAATTTGTTGGGGTTTATTCATTGTTTTTATTTTGAGTAATGTTATTCATATTATGTTTTTATACCACATTTCTAGATCACCTTAAGTAACATCTGGTGTGGACAACCACATCATTTGAAAAATTTGCAAAACCCAAGGAAAGGAAGGTGAAAGACTCTTCGTATACCATAATCATCATTTAATTAACTAGTTTTTCTTAATTATTAATTTATTAAATAATGAACTAAATTTAAAAATCTGATTGATTAATTCAAATGATGTAACTGTATATATCAAATGTTACTTAAAGTGATATGAAAATGTAGTATAAAAATATGGTATATATATAGCATTACTCTTAGTTTGTAGAGGAAATTTGTCAACTAATCTGTCGTTAAAGGGCATCATTTGAGATTTCGCCCTTGTTCTCCAGAAACTTTGGACCCACCATGCTATATACTCTTAGACTTGTGTTGTGCTTACTTTCGAACATTTATTCACCCACTTGAGCATAAATAGGAAGATATAGCACAAATTATCTCGCATAAACCCAAGATCACTTTGTTATATCAAACTCAAATTAGTAACCACAATATTTTACATGCAATTTGATCATAACTGGTTTATTATCCATCAAACAAAATCAACCAAACTAATGTCCGTATATCACGACAATATACTATTACTGACTAACTTACATCTTTAGACTTTTCTAAACCAATTTGAACTCAAACATATGGCCAAATACACTTTAAGTCATATTCTAAATATTAAGGTTGTTTTAGGATTTGGAAGAGCCATGGATGCATTAGAAAGTATCGAAAGTCTGCATTTTAATTTTGTTCTGACATATCAATCGATGTTTTAACGAAATTTTGTGCTACTCATACGATGTTGATGAAGTGTTAAAAAGATTTGAAAAAAAATCCCTTAGAAAGTATAAACTTTTTTGATCCGTGAGTTAATGTGTTTTACATATTGTGAGTGAATCAATTTCTTGCAAATTAGGAAAAGGTATGGCTGGAAACCAAGGAAATGACATCGTTCCGATGGAGAAGGAGAAGCTGATGAAGAAAATACAGAAAGCAGAATATAAGATTTCAAAGCACCAAAAGCGAATCACTTCTGGAGTGTCAACTTGGGTGAAACATGTCATCCTCTGCCTTGGCTTCCAAGTAGGATTTACTTGGACCTTGACCGGCAACAGAGTTTGGAGATGCTCGGACTACTTTCTCTTCCTTGGGTGCTATCTGGTCTTATGTGCTTTTGGTTGGCTTCAACTGTTTCTGACCGGACGCTACTATATCCAAAGCGTTATGAAGTGTGACCGGCGCTGGAGAGAATGCAGAGACTTGGAGGGTAGGCTTGCTGTTCTTAAGGGATCATCAAGGGTCCAGGACTTTGATGATGGACATCAGTGTCACATCGTCTTGGGAATTATGGCTCTGCTCTGTGTGGCCTCTTGCATGCTTGCCATGTTCATCCTTTTCTTGGAGGCGTTTTCGGGTAACCTTGCCGATGTGTGCAGGGGAAACTGAAGAGTAACTAAGCCATGGAGGGTCATATTTCACTTTCAGTACATTTGGATGTAAAAGCTTAATTTCGACTAGTTTATTTACTTGTTATTGCATTTGTGTTGTCGTTTGAATTTTGTTGCATCCAATCCAATTGTCACCCCTCCTTGTCCCGATATTGATTGCGCCATTCTTGGGTATGGGACTCAGGACCAGCTCTGAGAATTTAGGGGCCCTAGATGAGCCTTCGAAGTTGAGCTCTAGAGTTCTCTGACCTTATCCTTATATTGATATGTATAAAATCATCTTCTGCAATCAATTTTTGCTTCAGCAAATCTTGGGCCCTGGTGTTTCGGTTTTTGTTAGAAAATTGGGATGTAAAATTTGAGAAATGTGGAGAATTTGTGATGACCGAAGAGTTTATAGTTCTTCTGCTTACTCTGTCCAAGCTTCGTGGTCAACTGACGAAGAACAAGGTGACATCATTTTTTTTATTTTTTGTCAAACAAAAGATTTTATTAGATTAGATATTAGATTAGTCACCGACGGGATTTAAATCTACGGTGTCATGCAAGAACTTTTAACACTTTTTCATCACTGTGGTAAAGAGGCAGAAGGTGACAGCTTTTCCATTGTTACAGAATTTGCCTACGTCATAACGCGGCGTTTAATGGTTTAGGGTTCGCTGGAAATCGGAACACTGGTGGAATTTGGGGACGACGGCGCGGGAACTGGGCTGGGTGGCGGTAACGTAACTTTTGTATTTGAACCTCATTTATAAATTGGGCCGACACTTGTGACGGGCCTCAAATTCTTTACCGAAAACCTGAATTCTTTACACTTGCAAGTGGCCTTTTATCACAGTGATGAAAATGAGTGTCGTTTCTGCACCATGGCATGGGTTTAAACCCCACCGGCTCTCTAATCTAACAAATCTATCGTTTGACAACAACAACAACAACAACAAAGCCTTTTCCCACTAAGTGGGGTCGGCTATATGAATCCTAGAACGCCATTGCGCTCGGTTTTGTGTCATGTCCTCCGTTAGATCCAAGTACTCTAAGTCTTTTCTTAGAGTCTCTTCCAAAGTTGTCCTAGGTCTTCCTCTACCCCTTCGGCCCTGAACCTCTGTCCCGTAGTCACATCTTCGAACCGGAGCGTCAGTCGGCCTTCTTTGCACATGTTCAAAATCACCGGAGCCGATTTTCTCTCATCTTTCCTACAATTTCGGCTACTCCTACTTTACCTCGGATATCCTCATTCCCAATCTTATCCTTTCTCGTGTGCCCACACATCCCACGAAGCATCCTCATCTCCGCTACACCCATTTTGTGTACGTGTTGATGCTTCACCACCCAACATTCTGTGCCATACAACATCGCTAGCCTTATTGCCGTCCTATATAAAATTTTCCCTTGAGCTTCAGTGGCCTACGACGGTCACACAACACGCCGGATGCACTCTTTCCATCCAGGTCGTATTCTATGGTTGAGATCTCCATCAAATTCTCCGTTCTCTTGCAAGATAGATCCTAGGTAGCGAAAACGATCGCTTTTTGTGATCTTCGCTAGATTGCTCCGGTCATTAGTGTGGATAAGTATATAAATGGATAGAGATAGGAAAGCAAACACAAGATGTACGTGGTTCACCCAGATTGGCTACGTCCACGGAATAGAAGAGTTCTCATTAATTGTGAAGGGTTTACACAAGTACATAGGTTCAAGCTCTCATTTAGTGAGTACAAGTGAATGATTTAGTACAAAATGACATTAGGAAATATTGTGGGAGAATGATCTCGTAATCACGAAACTTCTAAGTATCGGAGTGTGGTGTCGTCTTGACTTGCCTTATCTGTCTCATAGGTAGATGTGGCATCTTCTCTGGAAGTACTCTTCCTCCATCCAGGGGTGGTATCTTTAACTGGTGGAGATGCACAAGGTAATGTATCAATTTCACTTGAAGCTTACTTGTAGTTTCAGGCTTGGTCAAGCGCGATACAAACCATGTAGTAGGAGTCCCCCAAGTCGCCGAGCTAGGGGGTCTGCTGAAAGAGGTGACAGACAAGGTAAGCAATCAGAGCTCCGACTGATTGTTCACCTTCTCCCCATCTTGCAGCAGCATGAAGGATAAAAAGAGAAGAAAAATGAGAAGAGATGATATGAGATACTTTTGCTTTTGAAGAAGTAACTTTCCACAGGCTTATTCTTGAACTGAGCTGGAGGGTTTTCTGGTTTCCTCCAGAGTATAAGGCCGACTGAAGAATTTGAGGGTCAAAACAAGTCCATCAAATCTAGAGTACGTTCCACCCTGCTGATATGGGATACTTTTGCTTTTGACAGAGTAATGAATGTATCGGCACGGGTGCTGTTACGCTTGTCTCCACATGCTTCCTTGTATCCTTCGCACTTGCCCTATCTGTTCCTCAAGCAGATGCGGAATCTTCCCTGGAAACATAAGATGTTGAAGATGAGTACTCGAGAGCAATGCCAGGTAAGTAATCAGGTAAGGGGTTCCAGGCAGTCAGTTCCTGGCTGGAAGCTTGATTCCAAGTGCTGACTGATTGCTCTCTTTCTCCTTGTCTTGCAGGTAAAAACAAGGCCAAAAAGAAAAGACAGGGAAAAAAGCATGATATGGGATACTCTTGCTTTTAACCCTGATGATATGAGATATTCTTGCTCTAGTATAGCTTGTTTGCAGAGGTATTATCGGGGGGAAAGAAAGCTGAATATTTCGAAAGGCTTCGTTGGGAGTGCCCTCTCAGATATGATGAAGGGTTGAGCATTTTTGCAGGTCTGCCTGTCCGTTGGGGATGGAGGTCGACATATATAGGAGTCTCCCTAACAACAAGTAGTAATGCTATTCCTTTACCCTGCTTGGTCATAGCACGGTAGTGGGAGCTGCCAGTTTCACATGTTTTAACTCTGTCAGAGCACTTTGAAAAAAGTGGTCTGTGGTATCTGGCTCTCGAGATTCGGAGAACGATGCCTCTTCGATTTTTGAGAAAGCAATCATGCTGGGGGTATGACTCTCGAGATTCGGAGAGCAGTGTCTCTTCGATTTTTGAGGAAGTAATCATGTTGGGAGTCTGGCTCTCGAGATTCGGAGGGTGGTGCCTCTTCGATTTTGGAGCAAGCAATCTTGTTGGGAGTGTTGTCTCGAATGTGAGTAAAGGTTGGGCATGTTTGCTAGTCTACCTTGCCACGAAGTACAAAGGTTGACACACAGGGACTTTCCAATTATCCAGCAATGGTACTGTTCCTTTACCCTCTCTTCGATTTTGAGAAAGTAGTCATGTTGGGAGTCTGGCTCTCGAGATTCGGAGGACGGTGCCTCTTCGATTTTGGAGCAAGAAATCTTATTGGGAGTGTTTTCTCGAATGTGAGTAAAGGTTGGGCATGTTTGCTAGTCTACCTTGCCACGAAGCACAGAGGTTGACACACAGGGACTTTCCAATTATCCAGCAGTGGTACTGTTCCTTTACAGTTGTGGGTAATAATATGGTAGCTAGACCTTCAAAATTTATTGTGTCTAAACTTTTGTTAGTGCTGTTTCTTTGCTATTCTTTTACCTTTCTTGGTCAGAGCGATGTAGTAGGAGCTGCAAGCTTCACGTGCTCAACTTTGGCAGAGAACTTTGGCAAAGTTATTTGTGGTACCCATGAGCTATTTTGTTGCGTGTGGGAAGTGGGTGATTGAACAGTAAGATTCATGTGCTTTCTACTTCACCAGAAGTCTTCGACAGAATGCCCATAATTTCTGCAAAAGCTGAGTGTGCGTGTGACAGGTGTTGACAAGGCTAGAAAAGTAGGGCCTCTTCGATTTCTGAGATCGGCCCTCGTGGTCTCTGAGCAGCCCAGCTTTTGAGAAAAGCGAGCGCCTCTTCGATTGATTCGGAGAACGATGCCTCATCGATTTTTGAGAAAGCAATCATGCTGGGGGTCTGGCTCTCGAGATTCGGGGAGCAGTGTCTCTCTTCGATTTTTTGAGAAAGTAATCATGTTGGGAGTCTGGCTCTCGAGATTCGGAGGGCGGTGCCTCTTCGATTTTGGAGCAAGCAATCTTGTTGGGAGTGTTTTCTCGAATGTGAGTAAAGGTTGGGCATGTTTGCTAGTCTACCTTGCCACGAAGCACAGAGGTTGACACACAGGAACTTTCCAATTATCCAGCAATGGTACTGTTCCTTTACCCTCTCTTCGATTTTTAAGAAAGTAGTCATGTTGGGAGTCTGGCTCTCGAGATTCGGAGGACGGTGCCTCTTCGATTTTGGAGCAAGCAATCTTATTGGGAGTGTTTTCTCGAATGTGAGTAAAGGTTGGGCATGTTTGCTAGTCTACCTTGCCACGAAGCACAGAGGTTGACACACAGGGACTTTCCAATTATCCAGCAGTGGTACTGTTCCTTTACCCTTGTGGGTAATAATATGGTAGCTAGACCTTCAAAATTTATGGGTCTAAACTTTGTTAGTGCTGTTTCTTTGCTATTCTTTTACCCTTCTTGGTCAGAGCGATGTAGTGGGAGCTGCAAGCTTCACGTGCTCAACTTTGGCAGAGAACTTTGGCAAAGTTATCTGTGGTACCCATGAGCTATTGTTGCGTGTGGGAAGTGGGTGATTGAACAGTAAGATTCATGTGTTTTCTACTTCCCCAGAAGTCTTTGACAGAATGCCCATAATTTCCGCAAAACTGAGTGTGCGTGTGACAGGTGCTGACAAGGCTGGAAAAGGCTGGAAAAGTAGGTGCCTCTTCGATTTCTGATATCGGCCCTCGTGGTCTCTGGGGAGCCCAGCTTTTGAGAAAGCGAGCGCCTCTTCGATTTTTGAGATCGGCCTTCGTGGTCTTTGAGCAGCCCAGCTTTTGAGAAAGCAAACGCCTCTTCGATTTCTGAGCAGGCGCCTCTTCGATTTCTGAAGCTTCGTCGAGTGCAGATTTTTATAGGGGCTGGCATTAAGTTCCAAAGCACACTTGAATCTCTACCAGTAGAAGCTTCATTCTTGCACTTCTAAGATCTTGATTTGTCCGACCTCTTCTCTCTTCAACACCTTTGAAAATGTCTGGCCCCTCCGACCGTCGTTTTGACTTGAACCTTGTTGAAGAGGCAGCCCCGCCTTCTCCAGACAACATATGGCGCCCATCCTTCGTCTCCCCTACTGGTCCTCTTACCGTTGGGGATTCCGTGATGAAGAATGATATGACCGCTGCGGTGGTGGCCAGGAACCTTCTCACTCCCAAAGATAACAGACTACTTTCCAAACGGTCTGATGAGTTAGCTGTTAAGGATTCGCTGGCTCTCAGTGTTCAGTGTGCAGGTTCTGTGTCTAATATGGCCCAACGCCTATTTGCTCGAACCCGCCAAGTTGAATCATTGGCGGCTGAAGTGATGAGTCTCAAACAGGAGATTAGAGGGCTCAAGCATGAGAATAAACAGTTGCACCGGCTCGCACATGACTATGCTACAAACATGAAGAGGAAGCTTGACCAGATGAAGGAAACTGATGGTCAGGTTTTACTTGATCATCAGAGATTTGTGGGTTTGTTCCAAAGGCATTTATTGCCTTCGTCTTCTGGGGCGGTACCGCGTAATGATGCTCCAAATGATCAACCTCTGATGCCTCCTCCTTCTAGGGTTCTGTCCAGTACTGAGGCTCCAAATGATCCCCCTCCGATGCCTTCTCTTTCTGGGGCTCTACCGACTGCTGAGACTTCTCCTAAGCAACCTTTGTGAAGGCTCCCTCTTGTGTGCTTATTTTGACTCATGTATATGTACATATTTGTAGGTTATCGGGGATATCAATAAATAAGCTTTCCTTCATTTCAACGTATTGTGTTAAATACACCAAAGCCTTCTTCGCTAAGTTCTTTGAATTTTCTTTTGTTAAAGCTTGTATGTTGAAGGTTTCTGAGTGGAGCATGTAGGTTGGGGTAGTGTTCTCTTAATTTCCCGAATGAGGAAAACTTCTCGGTTGGAGACTTGGAAAATCCAAGTCACTGAGTGGGATCGGCTATATGAATCTTAGAACGCCATTGTGCTCGATCCTGTGTCATGTCCTTCGTTAGATCCAAGTACTCTAAGTCTTTTCTTAGAGTCTCTTCCAAAGTTTTCCTAGGTCTTCCTCTACCCCTTCGGCCCTGCACCTCTGTCCCATAGTCGCATCTTCTAATCGGAACGTCAGTAGGCCTTCTTTGCACATGTCCAAACCACCGTAACCGATTTTTCTCTCATCTTTTCCTTCAATTTCGGCTACTCCTACTTTACCCCGGATATCCTCATTCCTAATCTTTTCCTTTCTCGTGTGCCCACACATCCAACGAAGCATCCTCATCTCCGCTACACCCATTTTGTGTACGTGTTGATGTTTCACCGCCCAACATTCTGTGCCATACAGCATCGCCGGCCTTATTGCCGTCCTATAAAATTTTCCCTTGAGCTTCAGTGGCATACGGCGGTCACACAACACGCCGGATGCACTCTTCCACTTCATCCATCCAGCTTGTATTCTATGGTTGAGATCTCCGTCTAATTCTCCGTTCTTTTGCAAGATAGATCCTAGGTAACGAAAACGGTCGCTCTTTGGTATTTCTTGATCTCCGATCCTCACCCCTAACTCGTTTTGGCCTCCATTTGCACTGAACTTGCACTCCATATATTCTGTCTTTGATCGGCTTAGGCGAAGACCTTTAGATTCCAACACTTCTCTCCAAAGGTTAAGCTTTGCATTTACCCTTTCCTGAGTTTCATCTATCAACACTATATCGTCTGCGAAAAGCATACACCAAGGAATATCATCTTGAATATGTCGTGTTAACTCATCCATTACCAACGCAAAAAGGTAAGGACTTAAGGATGAGCCTTGATGTAATCCTACAGTTATGGGAAAGCTTTCGGTTTGTCCTTCATGAGTTCTTACGGCAGTCTTTGCTCCTTCATACATATCCTTTATAGCTTGGATATATGCTACTCGTACTCCTTTCTTCTCTAAAATCCTCCAAAGAATGTCTCTTGGGACCCTATCATACGCTTTTTCCAAATCTATAAAGACCATGTGTAAATCCTTTTTCCCATCTCTATATCTTTCCATCAATCTTCGTAAGAGATAGATTGCCTCCATGGTTGAGCGCCCTGGCATGAACCCGAATTGGTTGTCCGAAACCCGTGTCTCTTGCCTCAATCTATGCTCAATGACTCTCTCCCAGAGCTTCATTGTATGACTCATTAGCTTAATACCCCTATAGTTCATGCAATTTTGTACGTCGCCCTTATTCTTGTAGATAGGCACCAAAGTGCTCGTTCGCCACTCATTTGGCATCTTCTTCGTTTTCAAAATCCTATTGAAAAGGTCAGTGAGCCATGTTATACCTGTCTCTCCCAAAAGTTTCCACACTTCGATTGGTATATCGTCTGGGCCTATTGCTTTTTTTATGCTTCATCTTCTTCAAAGCTACAACCACTTCTTCCTTCCGGATTCGACGATAAAAAGAGTAGTTTCTACACTCTTCTGAGTTACTCAACTCCCCTAAAGAAGCACTCATTTCATGTCCTTCATTGAAAAGATTATGAAAATAACCTCTCCATCTGTCTTTAACCGCGTTCTCTGTAGCAAGAACCTTTCCATCCTCATCCTTGATGCACCTCACTTGGTTTAGGTCCCTTGTCTTCTTTTCCCTTGCTCTAGATAGTTTATAGATATCCAACTCTCCTTCTTTTGGTATCTAGTCGTTTATACATATCGTCGTAAGCCGCTAACTTAGCTTCTCTGACAGCTTTCTTCGCCTCTTGCTTCGCTTTTCTATACCTTTCACCATTTTCATCAGTCCTCTCCTTGTATAAGGCTTTACAACATTCCTTCTTAGCCTTCACCTTTGTTTGTACCTCCTCATTCCACCACCAAGATTCCTTTTGGTGTGGGGCAAAGCCCTTGGACTCTCCTAATACCTCTTTTGCTACTTTTCGGATACAACTAGCCATGGAATCCCACATTTGGCTAGCTTCCCCCTCTCTATCCCACACACATTGGGTGATTACCTTCTCTTTGAAAATGGCTTGTTTTTCTTCTTTTAGATTCCACCATCTAGTCCTTGGGCACTTCCAAGTCTTGTTCTTTTGTCTTACTCTTTTTGATATGTACATCCATCACCAACAAGCGATGTTGATTAGCCACGCTCTCTCCTGGTATAACTTTGCAATCCTTACAAGTTATACGATCCCCTTTCCTCATTAGAAGAAAATCTATTTGTGTTTTTGACGACCCACTCTTGTAGGTGATCACATGTTCTTCTCTCTTCTTAAAGAAGGTGTTGGCTAAGAAGAGATCATATGCCATTGCAAAATCCAAGATAGCTTCCCCATCCTCGTTTCTCTCCCCAAAACCATGGCCACCATGAAAACCTCCATAGTTGCCTGTCTTCCTGCCCACGTGTCCATTTAAATCTCCTCCTATAAATAACTTCTTCTCCGTCTGAGCAATTCCTTGCACCAAGTCTCCAAGATCTTCCCAAAATTTCTCCTTCGAACTCGTATCCAACCCTACTTGAGGTGCGTACGCACTAATCACATTGATAAGTTCTTGTCCTATTACAATCTTGATTGCCATGATTCTATCTCCTACCCTCTTGACATCTACAACATCTTGTACCAAGGTCTTGTCCACGATGATGCCAACACCGTTTCTCGTTCTTATTTGTGCCCGAATACCAAAGTTTAAACCCTGAGTTTTCTAGATCCTTTGCCTTACTACCAACCCACTTAGTTTCTTGTAGGCACATAATATTTATCCTTCTCATCACCATAACTTCCACTACTTCCATAGATTTTCCCGTTAAGGTTCCTATATTCCACGTTCCTAAACGCATTTTGCTCTCTTGAACTCTACCCTTCTGTCCTAGCTTCTTCACCCTCCCCCGTCTAATAGGATCAAAGTACTTCTTTTGTGTGTCCCGGGTAAAGTTGATAGGAGCATATGCTCCCAAACAACTTTGAGTGGAGTCGTTCGAAAAGAAGTTTCTATGGCCCCCTTGCTCATTTAACACTGCATCCGGGTGCCGATGGAGATACAGCGACCCTCAAAAAAAAAAAAAATTAGAGAGAAAAAAAGGGGACAAAATCATAATTAGAACTACTTTAATTTACGAGAAGGATATTCAAACTCGGTTGCAATGGAGCGAGCAACTAATCTACCAATATATGTGTTCCGAATCATTAATTGATTCATGTTATGCTCTAAGATTGCGCGAATTTCATGTAACATTTATTCAAATTTACTTACGTCACTTCCTACTCAATAGTCATGGAGATTTCTAGACTTAGATTAACAAATATCAAAATTTTGCATACTAAGACTCGACTAGGCCTAAATTTTTTGACTAAACCAAGTCTCCTTTGACAAAGCAATGTCAAAAGTTTAAACTAATCTAATTTACGAGAAAGTTTATTCGAACCTGAGTGAATGTAATAACACTCGTATATTCAAATAGGTGTATATAGGGTATTTATGGCATTTCAAGTAAAATACAGCCATAAATGGAAAGATTAGGAGGGTAGCATGCATGACAGAGTGAAAGTCTGAAGAATACAGAGCCCCTATTTTGGTGAAATTTTGCTCATGTCTCTCCATCCCTCTCAAAATATCTCAGACACACACTCTCTCTCTCTTTCTGAAAGGCTCCAACTTTCTCCATTTCCACACCACAAAACCCTTCTCAAGGTATTTACTTTAGCTTTTGGTTACGGAAGATTTCAAATTTGTGATATTTTTCCAATAATTTTTAGTCAAGTGTTGAAGTTGTTTCCTTCTTATTACAGACCTCAAGTTACCAACATAGCATAAGAAAAGAAAAGGTAATGTTGGTTTTTCAAGTTTCGTTTTGGGTTGCAAAACTTGGACGTTCTGAATTTGTTGGGGATGATGTTTTGTTTTTCGATTCGGTAAAAAATGCGGTTGGATTCAATTTCCCTTTTTTTTCTTTGTATTTGTTTCTTATTTTGTTTGCCTTTGCTTGGTTTGTGAGAAAAAGTACCGAAGAAAACAAATTTCTTTGTTCGGTCTAGTGCAAATCTACTTGGGTTTTGATTGTCAAATTCTTGAACTTCTTACTTAATTTTGGAAACAAAATTATATTGCATAATGCAGAAGATACACTTTCTTTGATTCGACATTTGAAATTCCTGTATTTAGATAGAAAGTACTAGTTTAGGTATCGTTTGGTATGTAGACAAGACGGGACGGAACGGAATGGGACAGTACAGGACGGGGTGGAACGGAGAGGGAGCAAAGATGCCCTCGGATGGAAACAAAGAGGAAGAAAAAGGAGACGGAGAGGTTATAATTTTGTGTTCCACGGATGTGGAACGAGTCGTTCTAGGGGTGAGGCGGAACGAAAATTCACCTAAAATTCGTGATGTGGAACAGCGTGATTCATCCGTTTTAGACGCAACAAACGTGAGACAGAATGCCTCGTCCCACTCCATTCCGTCCCGTCCTATGTACGAACGGTACCTTAAGTCTGCATTTTGATTTTGTTCCGACAGATAGATCGATGTTAACCAAATTTTGTGCTACTGATATGATGTTGATGAAGTGTTTAGATAGCAAGAAGTGTTGAAAAATGTCCATGAGTTAACTTGTTTGACATATTGTAGGTCAATTAATTTCTTGCATTGTAGGAGAATCTATGGCTGCAAACCAAGGAAGAGATGCTGTTGTTGAGGCGGAGAAGGAAAAGCTGAGGAACAAAATTCGGAAAACGGAAGCTACAATTGCAGATCAGCAAAAGAGAATCGGCTATCTAAAATCAGCCGGCAGAGAACTTCTCATCCTTTTCGTTGCCTTGTATGGACGTTTTCTCTGGATCATCAATGGCGGCAAAGGTTTGAGATGCTCCGACTATTGGTTCTTCCTCGGCTATCATATGTTCCTATGCGCGGTTGGCTGGTCTTTAGCAGTAAACGGAGTCTACTATATCCTTAGTATTAAGGAGAGCGACCGGACCTTGAATGAGTGCAGGGAGTTGAAGAAAACGCTTGCTGTTCTTGATGGATCCAATATTCCAAACTTTGATGGAGAGCCGAGTCAAAATGCTTTTGGAGTTTGGAAGATCATCAGCGCTATCGTACTGAACTCTCTCGTGTCTGATATGCTGATCAGTTGCTTCTTGTTGTTTTCGGCTACCTTTACCAATCTTTGCAGGAAGGGAGGTGTAGAGTGAGTGACTAGCCTAGCCATGCTTCGTGCTCTGGTATTCGGATGTAAAAGCTTATGACTAAACTTGCTGCGGTTTACCTTACCTGATTTGTTAACTGCACATCTCTATGGTAGTTTTTGTAACTCGAGTGCAGTTCAGACACTTTTCGAATCCAATCAAAGTCATGGAGTAGTAGTTTCCTTAAATTCGTGTTTCGGTGTTTGTTTAACGCCATAAAAAGTATTGGAAGTCCGCATTATACTTAATACTTGTATCCTCATCGGTTCGTTTAACTGTTTTTCTGCTAGTGAAATCTCTTCTCCTTGTATATTGTAGCAACTGGCAAATAATCGTAGTTTGCTTGGTTCAGTTCCGTAGCTTGGCCTCCTTCGCGCACGCTTGCACGTTGAATTAGCCTACGTTGTTGCAGCAAAACTGAAGAGTAGCTGATAATGTTTCGCGTTGAATTTGAAATGCTTCTTTCTCTGCCTGGTTTGTGGTCTTCTGAAGAAGAACAAGGTGATGTCTCCTGGTGAGGGGAGGCTTGTTCGCACTTGTAAATTTGCAATTTTGCATCTACTAAACGATGCGTTTAATGGTTCGTGGCATTCAGAAGAATTAAAATTGAACCTTCTTCTATTGTCACCCTCACCACCACGACAAAATTGTAGGTCGGATATATAATGATGATGACATTGTTGATGAGAACTGATGTCTTCCGATGTTATCTCTCTCTTTATAATAACTCTGGTCTGGACTGATGTCTTCTGATGGATGTGACATTTGTTCTCACCAAAACGCTAAGTTTTTCCCAGTTCATGCCTCATGGCATTCAGAATCAAATCCACCGGTAGACATTGGGCTTTCTTTTTTTGAGCAAATGTAACATACATTACCAACAACAAACAGTACAAACACTACATGGAGATAAAAAATTTACAACACAGAGGCCCAGGAACTAAAACACAAACAACCAACAGAGGCCCAACCAAAAGTTGAGCCCAAAACAAAGAACACACAGAAACAACCAGAGATGCTGCAACCTCCACCAAAACCGCCGTTGCAACCACCAAAATAGCAGTTGTGCATGTTGATCCAATCAAATTCAGTTCCCAAACAAAGCCACGCCTCACCAACACCAGCAGCCAATTCCAAGCTTCACGCCCAGCACAACTACAGACCCTAGAGAACCTGCACCCATTCTACTCATCTCTCTCTTCTCTTTATTTTTATTTATTTTTGGTTGGTTTTTGTTTCGGGTGGTGCTCCGCACACCATTTTTTTAATATTTTTATTTAACTCATCTAGCTAAATTAATTAATATTTTTTTCAAAAAAATGAAAAAAAATTATTATTGACAGTCCAAAACTCTTAATTGTGCACTCCTCTAAAAACATATTTGTTTTAGAATATAGAGAATTTAAAGTATGCAGTTGAATTGTTGGAGTACTGATAATAATTATTAAAAATATTTTGTTCAGACAAACAATTTGTAAAGAGTTGTTGGCACTCGAGCGTATTTTTCTTCTCTTACATTCTCATATTTAGAGCATTAAATAATTTTTCAGATTAATAAACATGCCATAAATAGTTATAAAAAAAAAATAAAACATGGCCTTTAGACTTTAGTGATGTGGTAAAGTTTTCTCCAATTTATGTAGAAAAAAAAAATAATAATAAAGAATGAAATGTCCTCCGGAAAGAAAAGCCCACAAAGTAAAGTTTCTCCCACAAACGCCGGTAGGGTAGGGCTCCAAATAATCGGGTCGGGCACTTTCCGGAACTTTCCGACTCCACCTTTCTTTCTCACTGTTCCTCTCTCTTCTCTGCTATAAAAACCGAACAATCACTGCGCTGCTTTTTCTTTCATTTCTCTCTCTCCTCTCTCGCTCTGCGAACTCCAAACTATAAATAACACAAACCCTGAAAAACTCCAATTTCAGAAAACATAATAACGTACATAATTCATACACGCAAAAATAATAAATTCAATTTCCAATTGTTAATCCCTTCTCTCTCTAGGATTTCTCTCATTTGATATGGAGGCGGCCGTGGACGAGCAGCAGAACTTAGGGCAAGGCCAAGGGGAGGAAGGCGGAGCCGGGCCTCCAGCTCCGCCTCCACCGGTGGCAGCGCCAGAATCGCAATCTCAGGGAGGTGAGGAGGAAGAAGATGAGGAGGAAGAGGAGGAGGTTAAGAATGAATACGACGAATTGGCTGCCCAGGCTCACAAGCTTATGGACAAGGTCACTGCCGCGCCTGATAGCCCTAATCCTACTGTTCTTCACGCCCTCGCCTCACTTCTTGAAACCCAAGAATCTCGGTTAGAACCGTTTGTATAGTGCTAATTGATGCCTAATGCTTTGCTCTGTGCCATCATTTGCATTTTCTTGTTCTTCTTGTTCTTATTCTTTCCTGTAAAGATTGGGCTTTTGCTTTCGAGTTGATGACGATAAAATCGCAATTTAAGACGTTTAGATTAGCTTGTAGGCTGCGGGTTTTATAGGCATTGAGTGTGATTATATATGTGCTTATTGTTTTGTTGAAATTGGTGAACAATGTGAATTTTCAGAATGTTATTCCTCGGACTGTTATTTACTTAGTGGAGGTTTCATTTCTTAGTAAGCAATACTTCTACAGCTTTACAATGCACGGCCTGCGGGTGGTGTGATATAAGCATTGTTTGAAGACTTTTCTTGACGGTTGTACTTTGAATTGCTGTAGTCGATGTCAGGGTTTAAGGACGGCATGGGATAGCATTGTAATTGTACCTAGAGGTTAGGGTTTTTTTTAAAGTACAAAATGGTGGGTGAGTTGAGGAAACTGTCTTTGGGATGCGAAGGTGATGAGTCAAACTTTTCCTGGTGATTTGGAATTTTATTCTCAGCAAAGGAAAGACATTTGAATTAAGGTCACTGGACTATGAACTGTACACTTGGGATGTTACACTGGGGTGTGATTGAGTGATTCGATGTGGACTTTTTAAGAATGGTGGTAACCATTAATAGTTATGTAAATCTTTGGGTTGATTTGATGTTAGTAGGTTATGCATATGTGCTCGTGCAGAAAGGAATTAAGTTTGAGACCTGAAAAGTGAAAAGAATATTGATTTTTCATTGAAAAAAATGGTTGTTCTAGTATTATGTTGGTGGTAATTTTGATTGTTCTCGTTTACTTAGGATGCTCTGGCTGGTTATGTACGCACCGTTTGGTGACTTTTCACTGTTTTGGTCATTGCACAACTCTATATTTCTAATATGTACAGCATACAAGGTGTATTTTTTTTTATTTCTTTTTGAATCTTAATTATTGAGTTAAAAAATTCATTTAACACAGATACATGGAAGAGAATGGTCATTCATCCAGCAATGGTCGGACTTCACATAACATTGGACAGCTAGGGAACTTAGTCCGGGTAACTAGTTTTGGCACGTTATTACTTTAAATTTTTATCTTTTCAGGATGGTTGCTAAATATATTCATATGAGCGGATTGTATCTTGTTTGAAAAAAAAAAATCCTAATTTTTCTCTCTTTTCCAGGATCATGATGATTTCTTTGAATTAATATCTTCAAAGTACCTGTCAGATGCAAGATACTCCATTGCTGTGCAAGCAGCTGCTGGAAGGCTGCTTTTAACCTGTTCACTAACCTGGAGTGTAAGACCCCTTTTTTCTTTGTAATGATTGATTTCCATTTAATCTTAGTTTTTTCTAAAAAATAAATAATATGGCTTATTATCAATCTGACAAGCCTAAATGTGATACAGTATCCTCATGTTTTTGAAGATGCTGTTTTGGAGAGAATAAAAGATTGGGTGATGGATGAGACTTCAATCTCATCGGTCGAATACCAGAATTGGAAGCATGATTTGGGGGGAAAGGAGGTCTCAGATTTTGAAATGCTGAAGACCTATTCTACTGGACTTCTTGCTGTATGTTTGGCTGGGTATGTTCTTGCTGTATATTTTTATTTTCACATCCTCATTTTATTCTTGTTCACTAGTTTGGTTGACATATCTTAATTTTTATTGGAACCAGTGGCGGTTCAGTAGTAGAAGATGTGTTGACATCTGGGCTGTCAGCCAAACTTATGCGTTATCTTCGCATGCGTGTTTTGGGGGAGACGAGTATTTCTCAGAAGGATGTTACTCATTTAACAGAGAGCAAAAATATCTTGGGTGCTATTTGCATAAGAGGTAGAGATGAAGGTCGGGGTAGGGCTGGTCCACGGATAACAGATGAGAGATGTTTAGATGACCGGATTGTTGAAGGGGATCATGTCAGGAGTATCAGTAGGCAAACGTTTGGTGAAGAACAATGGGTTGATGGTGGAGAACCACCTGATGGATTGGCTGAAGACGTTGAGATCAATGCTGATGGAAAGATGAAATCTGGAGATCTTGATGAAAATGGGAGAGATGACTCCTCAAGGCGCAGACCCAACCGTGGATGGACAAGATCTAGAGGGAAGGGAAGGACCAATGAAGGACCTCTAGAGGATCAACAGCTCTTGACCTCTCCAGGATCTGGTAGTAGGTTGGGACATGGGAGGAGCCCTAGAGATAGGAGTTCGCTAAAAAATTCTGATGTGAAAAAAATACCAGACTCTAGGAAGTGTGCGGATGTTGTCCTTCTGGAAAGGGCGGATAGTGATGACTGTTTCCAGGACTGCAGAGTTGGATGTAAAGATATCTCTGATCTAGTTATGAAAGCAGTGAGATCTGCAGAAGCTGAAGCTAGAGCAGCCAATGCACCTGAAGAAGCAATCAAAGCTGCTGGTGATGCTGCTGCTGAAGTTGTCAAAAGTGCCTCTTTAGAGGTACTAAAGATGTTACTCTCACTGTCTGTTAACCATTTTATCTCTTTTTTTCACTTCTTAGATGTTTGCCACTTAATTATGCAGGAATTCAGAACTACAAATAATGAAGAAGCTGCAGTTTTGGCTGCTTCAAGAGCAGCGTCTACTGTCATTGATGCTGCTAATTCAGTTGAAGTTTCAAGGTAGGTACCTCTGTGAGAGCAGCATCTACTGTATGCTCTACAATATCCTTCTTTTCGTCTGGGTAATAATATTTTCTATGGATTGGCAGGAGCTCTAGTGGCATCAATGCTGAATCAATGACTTCAAGCTGCACAGAACCAGAAAATCATGTAGATGCCGAGGAATACTTCATCCTGGATGCTGAGTCCCTTGCGCAGCTGAGA